GTGTGTGTGTGTGTGTCGGGTGTGTGTGGTGTGTGTGTGTGTGTGTGTGTGTGTGTGTCGTGTGTGTGTGTGTGTGTGTGTGTGTGTGTCGGGGTGTGTGTGTGTGTGTGTGTGTGAAATCTCCTGGATGAAGCTGAGAAACATTTTCAACCAAATAAACTTTTGTCCAGTCGACAAACTGAATTTGTCCTTTGCTGTGTCAGATTGTGTCAGATGCCCTCCCAGTGTGTGTGTGTGTGTCAGGTGCGCCCCTGTCGTCTGTTGTGTCAGGTGCGCCCCTGTCGTCTGTTGTGGCTGATTTCATCTTTTTCATTGATTTTAAATTTAAAAATTATTTGTGACACAAACAAAGCTCCTGATTGGTCGATGCGTTGAACTCAAAAATAGATGAAGATGAGTCACAGAAGAACGAGCGCCCCCTGTGGGTGAAGAGCGCCCCCTGTGGGTGAAGAGCGCCCCCTGTGGGTGAAGAGCGCCCCCTGTGGGTGAAGAGCGCCCCCTGTGGACGCAGGAGGAAACTGCACTCTGTCCAAAACACAATGTGAGAGGAAAATACAGACGTGTGACTTGTGGGGACCGTCCAGGACTGAACCAGGACTAAACCAGGTGTGATTAAAGTCCGTTCATAATCCTGAGGAGGACTTTGTTGGTGAATAAAGTGAATGTCCAGATGAAGCTGTGGGTCCTGGAGGAGTCCTGGACCGACCAGAGACCAGACCACAGATTATAAACCACAGATGAGGACAGATGTGGACAGATGTGGACGGTGATTTGTCCCAGTGCCAAAGTGAAAGTGAAACTAAAGGTGCTCTCTCTCCTCCCCTCGCTCGCCCGCTCTAAACTCTAAAAATATAAAAAATATTTGTCTAAAAACCACAGAATTTTACTACGAAAACATGACGCGTTTTTACATTTCGCTCAAACAAGAAAATCAGCCTCAAAACGACACAGACACGAAATACAGCGCCCGGGCAAAACCAGGACTAAACCAGGACTAAACCAGGACTTAGACCAGGACTAAACCAGGACTAAACCAGGACTTAGACCAGGACAGTAAATGTAAATGATCAGAGTTGTTTACACGACGCCTCTGGTTTGTCCAGGGTCACGGTTTTGTCCGTATCAAATCAAGAAATAAATAAAACCAGGTCTAAACCAGGTCTAAACCAGGTCTGAGCCTTGACTAGATGAGGACTACATGTGTTGTACTTGTCTGGATTATAGGAGTTGTGAGTTAAATCTGGCTGAGTTGTGCGTTTTATTAGTTGTAAAGCAGCTCGAGGTCCGACCTGCTCCGGTTGAGTCCTTCAGGTGTTTCTCAGAGTTTGGTTTGGTTCTTTTGCCTCAGACGCCGATACTCGGTGTGTGTGTGCGCTTTGCAAACCCACAGGAGACTGCAGTCTTCATATTATTATTATTACTATTTCATTATTATTATTATTATTATTATTAAATGTTTTCAAGTCCACGAAGGCACGACCCTCCAACCCAAAAAGACCAAGAATTCAACTGTGATATTTTCCTCCAAGAGCCACTTTTGGAAAAGTCTCCAGAGGCCAGAGTCCGTCCGAACACCAGAGCCGCACTTTCTTTCCACAGTTTCAGACGTTCTCGTGGTGTTTCCCTGGTGTTTCCTGGAGGTCCTCGTGTGCCGTTTCAGAAGCAGAATTCTGTTTAAAGGTAGTAAAAGTTCCAGTTTTTCCACAAACGTTTGACATCTTTTCATTCATACATTCAGTGCACGATCAGAATCAGGCGACGTCCCAGAGTCGGGGGCGGTTTTTTTTGCGTTTTCATCACGTCCCGAATCGACAGAAATATCTGAGTTTTACCTTTGGAAGAATCGACGCAAGTTTAAACACGAGGACGAGAACTCCAGAACCGAGCTCGCCAGAACTGAACCAAGTGGTGAGAAGAAACCAGAGAGCGGAACGTGACGAAACGGAGCGAGACAGGAAGTGTTCATGGGCGTGATCGGGCTCCGCGGACTCTGGCTCCAGTTCAGTTTGTGTGTGAAAAGCGTGGACGTTCTCTGTGGACCTGCCGCTGTCAGGATCCTCGCTCGGACCTTCAGATGTTGGTCTGAACCTGGTCTACGTGAGGTTTGGACTTCAACAGCTGTAACACGTGTTCGCACAGACCACGAATAAAACAATAAATAAATCAATAAATAAATAAAGTTCTCAGTCTTTAGGTTCAGACGTTTGTGCTGAGATGGAGTCAGAGATGGTCCTTCACACTCGAGGTCCTTCACACTCGAGGTCCTTCACACTCGAGGTCCTTCACACTCGAGGTCCTTCACACTCGAGGTCCTTCACACTCGAGGTCCTTCACACTCGAGGTCCTTCACACTCGAGGTCCTTCACACTCGAGGTCCTTCACACTCGAGGTCCTTCACACTCGAGGTCCTTCACACTCGAGGTCCTTCACACTCGAGGTCCTTCACACTCGAGGTCCTTCACACTCGAGGTCCTTCACACTCGAGGTTCCTCCACACTCGAGGTTCCTTCACACTCGAGGTCCTTCACACTCGAGGTCCTTCACACTCGAGGTCCTCCACACTCGAGGTCCTTCACACTCGAGGTTCGTTCATTGTCGTGTTCATCTTTGTGTTCGTTTGTTCTCGTGTTCGTCCGTCGTCGTGTTCGTTTCGTCCTCGTCCTGGTGTTGGTCGATGTCGTCGTCATCGTGGGTGTGATGTGCTGACATGTCTTATTGCTCAGAGCGTGGGGGGGGGGTGGTGGTGGGTGGGGGGGTGGGGTGGTGGTGGGGGGGTGGGTGGATGGGGGGGATGGGGGGTTGCAGCATTGTTGGCGGCTCCTGAGGCGTCACAGCCCTTCGTTTGTGCAACAAGAATCCAAGAGTTTCATTCGTTTTTACATTTAGTTTAATTTTTTTTATTATTGCTTCCGTCTGTTTTTCGTGGCTGAGTGACTCGAAGGTGCAGGTGACATGGGGAATGTGTCTCAAAACGTCCACCTCGTCTCAAAACGTCCGCTGCTCAAAAGTACAAAAGTGTTTCTGGAGTGTAAACCTTCAGTGAGTCTCAGGTGAAGTTTGATGATTTGTGGATCTGGATTTTGGTTCATTTCTCTGGAATTATCCAAACTCTCCACGAAAAAACAAAGAAAAGGAGGAAAAGAAAGAAATAAAGTAAAAGTTCTGTGAACCGCTGGTTCTTTTGAATTTCAATGAAGAACAAAAAACAATAAAATAGGAAAACTGTTTGTTACATTTTTCTGTTTTAGTGTCAAAACAAAAAAAAACTGATTTTAACCTCGATTTCCAATATTTAATTTAAAGTTTATTTCAAATAAAACCAAACAAAAAACAGTTTCATGTCTGTTTTCATTTGATTCTCTCTGGTTTATTTGTTCAGAGTTCAGACTCTTTTTCACTGACAATATTTCCAAACTTCTCCATGACTTTTTCATGAGCTAAAATGAATTTTCCATGACTTTCCAGCACCTCCATGTGTAGAACTGATCAGACTTTTAAGACTAAATCTGAAATGTTTAAATCTTTCCTCTCACCTTCTGGTTTGGGATTCTAGTTTTAAACATTCTAAATATTGTCGTCTCTTTTAAACTAAAAACGTTCAGAAAGAATCAGAACAAACTCGTGAAAACTGAACAAACTCTGGAGCGAAGGGAAACACACACTAACACTCCAGGACTTTTCCAGGACTTTTCCAGGACTTTTCCAGGACTTTTTAAAGCCTGTGTGAAGTTCTGCTGCTCAGTGGATTCAGAGTCACTGAACAAACGACGACACTTGGATTAGATTTATTTTATTTTTTTTACTTTTTTAAACTTTGTGCCACATGAACAGTTTTAGTAAAATCTGTAAATTGTGATTTTCCTGTTTGGACTGAAGCGTTGGTGAAATAACTCAGGGGGTAAATAAATCCTACACTGTTAATAATCGTTGAGGTTCATGTTTTTCCTGGTGAGTCTCCAGGTCCTGGAGATGTTTGAAGTTCAAGTGTTTTCTGTTCTCGTGTTCGTGTGTTTGAGTCTGAAGTTGGATTTAATGATCTGAAGAACATTTAGGCTCCTGACGACATAAAACACAGACCCAGAGCCGATAATCCGGTTCTGAACCTGGATCTAAACGGGTCCTGGGCAGGTCCTGGATCAGCCGCACCTCAGACTTTTACTGATCCTTGGAGGAGAAGCAGCTGATCGTTGGATTATTTGCAGATCTGCTGCGATGTGAGAGTGAAATCTGTTACTGATCTGTTCTGTGGAAGTTTGTTTCTCTGTTGTTCAGTCGAATCTGAAATCACAAACAAACGGCTCTGAGCAGAAGAACTTCAGTGAGTTTCTGTGTTAAACCAGAGAGAATAAAAAGGTTTGAGACAGTTTTTTCATTGGTTTTATTTGAAATAAACTTTAAATTGAATATTGGAAATAGAAGAAGAAACCTTTTTTTGTTTGACACTAAAACAGTAAAAGTGTTGAGTGTTTTTTGTTCTTAGTTGAAATGTAACAGAACGACTCGTTCACAGACTCGTTCACAGACTCGTCGTCGTCGTCGTCGTCGTCGTCGTCGTCGTCGTCGTCGTCAGATCGTTTTTTGGAGTTTCAGCTGAAAGGATCTGAGGTCTTCAGTCTGTGGAGCAGAAACACATGAGGAGCTCGAGTTTTGTAAAAACAGTGACGCTCCCAGAGTTCCTCAGGCCCCGCCCTCCGTCTGACACTGTGACATCATCACGCCGGTTCCGCGGCGGCGGTGGAGGAGGAGACATTTCGAGGAGGTTGTGTCTAAAGGGAGTCTGCGATGGTTTTTCCTGAGTCCGATTCAGAATCGTTTACAGTAAATGTTCTGTGCTTTTAGTGGAACTTCTTACAGTTCACGTTTGGAGTTTGTGGCTAAAGCTTCAACCTGTGACATCTTCATCTGGCGTCTGTGGAACATGTGCATCAGAAAACACTTTTACAGATTTTTTTTTTTTCAGGTAAAACTCGGGATATTTCTGCGATCGGGTCGATCTGTGACTAAGGTTCGGTTTCCTGATTTCCCGCCGCTCGCTCCGTCACCGCGACAACGGAGGAAGCAACCGACAACGAAGACGACGTCACGGAGGCCATTTTGTGTGCGTCCTCCATTTTGTGCTCTGGCCCGTCGTCTCCCTGAGCCCCGCCCTCTGCCCCGCCCTCTGCCCCGCCCCGAGTCAGTGCGGCAGGTGCAGACAGGTCGTTCGTGACAGGGACAGACAGGGTGTTTGTGTCAGGCGCAGACAGGGTGCAGACGGGCGCGGACGGGTCGTTGGCGGCTCGGGTGACGCTGTCGTACGACGGCGGGGACGAGATGATCCCGGCGGAGAGCGTTTCCGAGCGCTCCATGGCGAAGAGGCCGGCGGCGTAGTTCTCCCTCATCATGGCGGCGATAAGCCCCTCCCTCTCCGGCGCGTCCTCTCCGAAGATGGCGTCGTCGTCGTCGGGCGAGGTCTGGTGATGCGGCGTGGCGATCTGCCGGTACAGGTAGGAGGCGGCCTTCACCTGCCGCCGCACCAGGTGTCTGCGGTAACAGCGCTGGATCACCGTCGCCGACACCTGAACACACAACTTTATTTATCAAACTTTATTTACAAAACTTTATTTATCAAACTTTATTTATCAAACTTTATTTATAAAAGGAAACTGTGGAGCAGTTTGTCCTGTAGGGGGCGACAGAGGGACACACACCACGTTCACATGATGATTTTAATTCTGAATTCAAATCTTGTCGTTGTTGTTTCCGTGTAAATAATCATGTTTTCTTGTTGTTTTCGTGTTAAACTGGTGACATGTTTTTGATTTCCTGTGTGTGAGCGTCTGGGGGAGGTTCTGATTGGACAGAGACGGATTTACGTCTTTGGGAAGAAAACACAAACTTTAATTGCTCCAGACTTTTCTGTCGTCTGGGTTTATCGTTCCTCCACGGACACAAACACCATCCAGACTTTTTCAGTCTAAAACGCGACTAAACCAGAACTAAACCAGGACTAGACCAAGACTAGACCAGGACTAGACCAGTTGAGGAGGAGAAGGGAAGAGCGCTGGAGAAGGAGGAAGAAGACAAAAGCTCAGCCCCTCCCACATCCCGCTCACAAATCCAAAGAGACGTGGATCAAAGTCCCAAGACACGACTGGACCAGGACCAGGACCAGGACCTGGACCAGGACCAGGACCAGGACCAGGACCTGGACCAGGACCAGGACCAGGACCAGGACCAGGAGGACGACACGAGGAGCCTGAAGCACCAGCAGCATTTGAACAACAACAAACCACAAACAGGATCCAGGAAACAAACTCAGTCACATTTAAAATCACAACAAAACAAACTCTTCACTGTTCAGGTTCAATCTGAATCATTTTCATTTGGGTTTCAGTGTTTACATGGAATTTTTAAAGAGAAATTTATTTTATTCAGAATTAAATTATATTTATTCCGAATTAAAGCTTCATGTGAACATGGTTTGTTCTGGAGATGAGAAAAGTGCTTTAGTCCACACACCTCCTCTCACCCCCCCGTCCCTCAGTTGCCCCCCCCCCCCCTCGTCCCTCAGATGCCCCCTCGTCCCACAGTTGCCCCCTCGTCCCTCAGATGCCCCCGGTGCCCGTGGCTCACCTCCTCCTGCTTGCGCCTGAGCGTGGTGGTGATGGGTTCGTAGGAGATCTTGGAGGGGTTGGCCATCATGAACTTCTCCTCCATCTGCTGCTTGAGGGCGTCCATCTCTCCGGACTCTCCGAGGACGCGCTTGGTGAAGGCGAACAGAATGTCCAGGCAGTGGATCTTGTCTCCGCTGACCATGGGCAGGTCCATGGAGATGAGTTTGATCTTGTTGGGTTTGGCGATGCGCAGCGGCTCCGACAGGGAGTCGGCGAAGTCGGACAGTTTGGAATACTCGATGAACTGCGTGGCCTCGGGGTCGAACTTCTCCCACACCTCGTAGAACATCTCGAAGTCGTCCTCGCTCAGGGGCTCCGTGCTCTCCTCCGTGGCCACGCTGAAGTTCTCCAGGATGATGGCGATGTACATGTTCACCACGATGAGGAAGCTGATGATGATGTAGGTGACGAAGAAGGTGATGCCCACGGACGGGTTCCCGCAGTTTCCCCGGACGGTGGTGCCGGTGTGGGGCAGGTCGGGGTTACACTCTTGGGGCGAGTTGTTGAGGATGGGCCCCAGGAGCCCGTCCCATCCGGCCGACGTGGTGATCTGGAACAGACACAACATGCTGTTCCCGAACGTCTCGAAGTTAAACATGTCGTCGATGCCGTTCTGACGCTTGACGTAGGCGAAGTTGGCCATCCCGAAGATGGCGTAGATGAACATGACGAGGAAGAGGAGGAGCCCGATGTTGAAGAGCGCCGGGAGCGACATCATGAGGGCGAAGAGCAGCGTGCGGATCCCTTTGGCGCCGCGGATCAGGCGGAGGATCCGGCCGATACGAGCCAATCGGATCACGCGGAACAACGTCGGAGAAACAAAGTATTTCTCGATGATGTCGGCGAGAACGATTCCTGAACCAGAGAAGAAGAGAAGAAGAGAAGAGACAGAGAGAGGAGGGTCAATAATATTATCACTGGATTAAAGTCACTGAACATAAACCTTCTGGAGCCACAGCCGCCCTGGGACAGACTCAGGACATGAGGCCTTCAGTCTGAGCTAGAGGTCTGCACGGGACAGAATTTTGAGTCCCATTCCCGCAAAGAATTGTAATTTTCAGTCCTGCTCCTGCCTGCAAGTCCCACTGGAGGGGAACTTTTACTTTCTTAAACTCTGTCAAACACGGAGAATAGAAAGAAATTGTTCTATGTCTGGGAGGAGACGCGGTGGACGGTCCGGCGGCAGGTTAAGTCCTGGCTAAATCCTGGTTTAGTCCTGGTTTTAGAGTTGTTTTTAGTCCTGGTTTAGTTCTGGTTGAGTTCTGGTTTTGTTTGTGCGGGAAGGGGGACAGTCTGCTGCTTAAAATGTTTTTATTAATGCCAAATCAAATCTCCAGCACAAATGATGCCTGATATTCTCACATTCATCTTTTTAATATTTTATTTATTCTCATATTTAGTTTGTGGGACTGAAGTTTGTCCTCCCTCGACACACACACACACACACACACACACACACACACACACACTGGGGGGAGGTGGGTCAAGTGTTTTGCCCAAGGACACAACAACAGTGTTCATCTGTGGAGCTGGAATCACACCAGTGACCTGTGAGTCTGTGAACCTGACGCTCGACCAGGGACATTTTTATTT